GATGGTAGATCATGGGGGAGGGGGGGGGCGAGCATATATATATATATATTGATTGCATGTATATGTATATATGTAGCGGGAGAGAGAGAAAGATAGAGAGAGAGAGACTGACAGTCAGTGTCTTTATGATTCTTCGAAGGCGCTGAAAGCTTTGGGGGCTTGAGGATTTTTCCAAGGTTCAGGATTTGAGGATGTGCTTTACGGGATATTGAGAGCTTGTTGGGTTTGCTCGGGCGTCAGGGCTTTTTAGTAACCGCTAATGTAGACTACTGATGAATGAACTCATTTGTTTAAGGGCACAGGATTCTTCAAGACCCCTTACATAGGGAGGGGGTGCATTAATCGGGGATCTACCTAGTAGTCAAGAGGGTGTTAGTGCTCTAACCTGAAGGACTGACTGCATGCAGAGGTCGTCAGGCTTACACGATGAGGCTTGGCATTTTGGGCATGGATAGTGTTTATGAGGTGTCATACCCAGCGAATAATTGTAGGGATTTAGGGCCTGAGCGGGGTATGGCAGAGGCTAACTATCGAACCTGGGACGAAAATACTTGCTTCCCCAACAAGCCAGGGAAATAAAAGGTTAAGCTTTCAGATTACTACTAATTTATGAGAACCCAAAAAGTTTAAAGGTTGGGTATTGGGGAACTAAGAGTATGGCTTGGGCATTTACATTAGATGGCTGCTTTGAATACCGGACGCTCTCGCCACATTATGGGATCGACGGTCTGGTTCTCGGGTCCTTGGGAACATGGACAAAATTACGGCTTGGGCACGGATGTGCTGGCTATGAGATGCTGTTACAAGTGCGCCATACAGGGGTTGGGCATAAATGCATGGATGCACTAGATGTCGGATGCTCTCGCAACTGCACGAGATTATGGTTTCGGCATTGTTGTTCTTCTTATCGGACGCTCTCGAACATGGATGAAACTATGGCTTGGACATGCACTCGGCAATGGCCTCCCTGACCTCATCTCACTAAATGCGTCAAAATGCGGGACGGCAATCATGCGTTAGCTAAACTATGGATCTAAGCCCTCTCATCGGTGTTACTGTTAGTTCGTAGCAGTATTGCCGCCTGCGAATCAAGATCGACATGCGTCTCTGCTGGCAAGTAGTTGTGTCAACGAGCATTTCCCACAGACTGCATCAATTTCTGGAAAGGTCTTGATCTAATTACCTCGCCTCACCCTAATCTTAAACCTCAAACCCTAAACCCCAAACCCCAAGCCCTAAACTCCTAAACCCCTACACCCCCAAACCCCTAAACCCTAAATCCCTAAACCCTAAACTCTAAACCCCGCACGCTCAACCCCTCGGAAAAAGCTGAGTGCTTGACCCGAGGCTCTTGGCCGAGACGCCCTTGGCCAAGGCAGCCTCAGGGGCAGCGAAGGCTTCCTTTAAGGCTTCTGGTGCTGTTTAGGGTTTAGGGTTTAAGGGTTCCTTTGAAGGTTCCTTTACTATACTGAACTTAGACCCCTAGCAAAAATTATAATTTTAGCTGCTTCTTAGGGTTTATAGTAGCCAAAAATTAAAGATTATTTCTAAGTACCCCTCCTAAGTTTAGGGTTCCTCGACGGCTCCTTTACGGGTTCCTTTAGGGTTCCTTGGGGGCTCCTTTACGGATTCCTGTTTAGGGTTCCTTTACGGGTTCCTTTAGGGTTCCTTGGGGGTTCCTTTACGGGTTCCTGTTTAGGGTTCCTTCGAGTTCCTTTACGGGTTCCTTGGGGGTTCCTTTTAGGGCTCGTTGAACGGTGCCGTTTACGGTTTGAGGGCTCCTTTTGAGGTTGGCTTTAAAGGGTACTGGAAGAGCTTGGGGCTTTAGACTTTAGGGTGTTACATCTTAGGCTCTAGGTGCGTCCATCGGTCATAGAAGGAATAAAACGCCCCAAACCAATTGATGAAATGAAACCCTAAACCTTAATCTCCTAAACCCTGAACCCTAAATCCAAACCTCCTAAACCCTAAACCCAAACCTCCTAAACCCCAAACCCTAAACCCTACTCCCCAAATTCCTAAACCCTAAACCCACCAAACCCGAGTGCCCTCCGAAGGCCCGGCGTTCCAGGCGCTGGGAATCGAGAGGAGGCCGCCCGGGAGGAAGAGCACCAGGGGAAGGAGCACCTGAGCCGAGTCTGAGTGAAGGCATATTAGGGTTTAGGGTTTAGGGTTTAGGGTTTAGGTGACATATAGGGGCCGTAGTAAGAAGTTTCCTTAAGGAGTAGAACAGGCTTTTGGGGGTATGTTATACTATGATATAGTAAGGAACCCTACTTGGAGGATCATGGGACCCAGTAATTGGGGTTATACATACGGTAGCCATAGTTATACTTACTTATAACCCCACTTAGGGTACTTATAACCTTACTTACTAAGTCCCCTGATCCTCCAAGTAAGGAG